CTTATATAGGAGTTAATATTATTGCAAAAATTTAAAATGAAAGCTATTGAATATTGCCAAAAATCGCATAATTTATAAATTTCTTGATTAATAATAATGAAGGTTTTTTTTTTAACATATGGTATTTGCTTATAAATTTAAATTTAATAATTTGCAGCTGAGAGTATAAATATAAAATACCTTTTCTACTGTATTCCTTTTTAAGAGAGTTTAAATTATTTTCATGACTAATTAGATTGCGCAGGTGGAAATAAGATATGGAATCAAAGAGGAATCTTTTCTTTTGACGTTATTTAAATCAAACTTCAATGCGATTATTCAAATAACCAAGAATATATCATATGATTTGTGCATTTAAGTTCTTTTTAAAAATGGTAATAACAAATATTTGATTACAATTTTATTTGAACGGTGAGATGCGAAATATATTATATCTAAAGAACAACTAAATAAGGCAGTCGGTTTAAATTCGCAATGTTTCAATTATTACTCCTAAAATTTGCATAGTGATCTAATTACTTAAGTGCTTTAAAGATTCTTATACATAAATCTGGCCATGGTCGTGATTATTATCACGTGATTTCGATATTTCGCGAATTTAATTGCGTCTTTTTAATTCTGTACTTTGTATTTTAACTTCAATAAAGTCATTGACGATACCGCATCATAAAAAAAAATCCGTACTATGTTGTTAAAATTTTTCATATAACTAGAGTTATAAATTGCAACATGTTAAATAAAATACTTCATTTCTTTGTTTTATCTAAATATAAAATAAAAGACCAATCTAATAAATAAATAATTCTAATTTTTTAAAATATCTGCAATAATATAAAAATAAACTTTCGACGATTAAACTAATATGATTTTAAAAATTTACACGTTATTTAATATTAATTTTAATATTAATTACTTTAAGAAATTTTTAAATATATTAACATTTGTAAATTGTAATTAATGGTTGTGAAGGATATAATTTTCTTTGAGAAAAGTAAAAATTTCAACATGTTTACCACCATTGTTACTTAGGTTAAGCCATTTTTCAATATGTGAACCAAAAAATATTACATTGAAATTGAGATATCTTTAAATGAAATTGTAAATAGGGAATCAAGTGTGATTTGACGAAAAGCAATCAAAAAATTTGGGAGAATCTTGCTGAACTTATATAAATTTCTATTAGAAGAACTAGAACTTAAATGAAAAAGAACTTCGAAGAAAATAATCTTCCGCACCATAAAGACTATTCCTCAAAGCATAAGAATGTCAATATGAAGTTTGGCAGCAGTCTTTGGAAGTTAGCAATTTCTCTTAAGGCTTTGAGAGAATTATTAAATCTGCAATGTCGCAAGAATTAAAGACCACAAAGAATCAAACACCAATGCATCTTTTTTTGTCCCTGGTAAATAAGAAAATAGTATTATAAGCTATTAGTAAAGTTCAAATTATTACACAATCAATAATTTGTTCTATTATGTTCAAGAATTATGTCCCAAAATTGTTTAGTTCATTTTGGTTTATCGGAATAGAATTAGTTTTTTCAATTGGCCAATATGGCTCCTGGACAATAAGTCCTTGCTGAATTTCGGGTATAAAAATGATGTGATTCGCTTGGAAAGGAAGGAATGTCCCTAGAAAGGTAATTAGAATTGCATTTTAGTTAGTATTTACCTTTCGCATTTATTGTAATGATATCGAAATTGTAATTAAAATACGTATCTGATCGTATAGAGCGTCGACGATTGGGGCAATGCGTAGTTTTATGTTAGATTTCATTGTTGTTAATAAATACATTTAAATAAAAAACCTTCTGCTTACCATTCCTTTTGTTTATAATCAATAAACGTCTCGAACTTCGTGCAACAGTATTTCAAGTGGTTCGATTTCTCCAAATGAATAATATATATTGATAAATACCGAATTTAGATCCTAGGACATATTGATTATTTTCTGTTTTTTTTCTATTATTTTACGTGGGTATCCCCTACATTATACTGATTATGTCTTTTCTACCCAAATTTATTGATTAACGTTAACCATTTGATTAATATAAATTTGAAGATCTCGACGGGCAGAAATGATTCCGAATTCTGATTCTCGCGTGACGGAAAATCTTGTTAGCGTAGAAAAAATTCATAATCGAACGGGAAATAATCTGTTATAAACAATCGACATCTCATCTTTAACTCTTTTATTTAACATCTTCTGACCCTTCCTCGCCACATCTACCTAATACAGCATCAACAAAATCCCAAACTCAACCAACTGCAAAACCAACAACAGAAGAAAAAAAGATAATATTAGCATTAGTAGTAATATTGAAAAATAAATTCTATCCAAGATGACATTAAGGAAAAAAATTTATCATTTAATACTCACCATCCAGTTCTTGTTGATATTACAAACACAATTTTACCTACCATTACAGGACATAGAATTTTAGGAGAAGCTTGTATCCTGAGACTGCTTTTCGCTTAGATCTTTACTTCTTGGGATGAATTCATCGTCATAATTCATTTTTTCTTCTATCGGCTATTGCTTCTCCTATTTCTCTGGTTGCTCGTAATATTATCATATGAGCCTATTACGTTAGTTCCACTTTATTAAATGACTTCTTTGCGCTTAATCACTGTCTTATCATTATCGTATTCTTGCTCGAATAAATTCGCTATTTGCCTCTCTCTCTTCTTAAGAACTCTCGATCTTATTACCGCCATCAAAGTCAGCGCATGAAATAATTTCAAAATTCTTCACGAAATAACATTCTTTGGTCTCCATCGTGGATTGTCAAGATAATTTTAACATCCAATCGAGAACCATTTCTTGGAATATGTTTTGAGCACACAAACATTTCTTCGCGCGACTAAAATTTTTTGAAGATAACGAATTCTTGTGCAAAATACTCTTTCCATAAGTATTCGTATAACATATTCTACATCAGTTAAATTATAACAATATCTGTTGTTTTGAACTTTATACCGAAAATGTCAATAGTAGACAAATTTACCGAATCGGAACTTTAAGTTGTTCGATAGCCTCTTAAAAGCTTCTGATAGAAACTGTTTCTTCCAAACTATGAATTTTGTAACCGTTTAATTTAATGTAGTCTGTTATGAAGTGCAAGCATTCAATCCATTAAGAAAAATATTATGGTGTAAGCATATTCTTTAAATACAACCGTCAGATCATTTGATAGCTGAGATCCCTGTTTGATCTTACCGACTATACCAACCGCCGAGAAAAGCGAAGGAAAAAGAGCAATAAAAATATAATATAGTCAAAGAGTGAATAAAATTAAAAATATGTCCAAAATACAAGGCTAATCAAACATCCTTCCCCATTATATAAATTATCAGACAATGAGATTTTTACTATTACAAATACTCGATATAGCTCATTTGGATTTTGAAAAAGAACATAAATGAATGAAATGTTTTATTAATAGTTAATTATCACAAGCTAGTGTCACCTCTTAATTTCGTGAAGAGGTAATTAGTTTAGTTTGTTTGTTTATTAAAAAAAATAAATAAATAAAGGATTATTATAAAGGATGAAAAAAAGAATAAATTTATTAAATGAAATATATGAAATATGAACAATTACAAGAGAATAGAACCATCTACATCTAAAATACAAAGTCTTATTATAACTAATTTTTTCTTAGGGCTTGGTCTTGGCAAAGATTAATAATCTTGCGGCTTGGATGACGGAAATGCTTATTAATGTCAAAAATGATCATTATGACGTATACAGTATATTCCATCATCCGAACTTGCGAAATTCCGATTACAGCAAATGTCGTGGCGATCAAATTTCAAATTCCGAGAGTGACACTAGCATTATTTGTTTTTTTTTAAAAAAAATAACAAGTATAAAAAAGAGTCCCGTGAAGTTAGATTAATTTGTTGAGAGGTTTCATAAAAAATGTATTATGTAACAAGAAACATGATGAATGATTGATTGCATAAATAATAAACTTTAATCTTAAATTAGCTAAAAATACCCAGATTGATTGAAAAATAACAGCCAATACCAGTTTAACGAACAAACAATTAGTTATTAATTAATAGATCTCGATTAATAAAAAGAATATTATGAAATTGTGAAAAATATTTTTCGAATATGTAATCATGACTTTTGTTATTTTATTAGTAATCGACTTTACACCAATAACTTAATAAATTCTGCTTTTCCTACAGACATAAACGCGCAATTTTCTCTTTTCATTATTATTATTATTTTGTTTGTAAAAAAAAATGGCTTCAAAATTTCATGGAAGTCTTTCAAAAGACCTTTCATTGATGTTAAATGATTCTGACGATCATAATGTTATTATCCAAGCTGGAGAAAAGTCTAATCTAAAAGAATTTCGAGCACATACGAATATCCTGAGGGCTCGTTCGCCTTATTTCAAAAGCGCACTTTCGACTACATGGGTAACTAAAAAGAACAATATGTTTGAATTTAAAAAACCAAATGTTAATCCTATCGTCTTCGATATGATTCTCAAGTATGACATTTTATAACATCTACGTCTAAATCAATTATAATATAACTAATCTTTTCCTTTTCCATTTAATATTATTAAGATATATTTATGTAGGAGAAGTGGATTTGACCAAACAATCGGGTGCTGACATTCTTGGACTGTTGGTTGCGTCCGATGAACTTCTTCTCGAGGAATTATTTAAATATGTTCAAGATCATTTGATTGAAAAACAGACGGCTTGGGTCCAGCAAAATTTTGTTCTTGTTCTACATACAGTCTTTAAACTTGATAGTTGTAAGAAACTACAAGAGCATTGTCTTGAATCTATCTGCGCAGACCCACAACCATTTATCACCTCAAAAGACTTTCCATCACTTGATAAAGATATACTTTATGGATTGCTTAAGCGAGATGACCTGCAAATCGAAGAAGCAGTTGCTTGGGATTATTTAATTAAATGGGGGATTGAACAAACTCCTAGTTTAGGAAGCAAGAATAACGATAGGGCTAAATGGAATGGCAAAGATTACGAAGCGTTGAAGTACACTTTAAGTCGATTTATTCCTCTTATTCGTTTTTCAGATATTAGTTCTGTGGATTTTTTTGATAAGGTTCGTCCTTATAAACCTGTTATTCCTCATCATATCTACGAGGAAGTTATGGAATTTTATATGAAGGATACTTTACCGAAAACGTCTACTTTCCCTCCACGATGCGGTAAGTGTCAGATTGAGTCAAAAATTATCAAACCAAGGCTTGCTTATGTAATTGCTAATTGGATTGAGAAAAAAGACGGGAAAACTGCTCGAAATAAATTAAGTTTAAAATACAAGTTCGATCTTGTATTTCGTGGTAGTCGTGATGGGATCAACACATTTAACAATTATAGTGGTCAAGCAAAATATTTAGTTTTAGTCAAAGATCAATCTTCAAAAATATATGGCGGATATAGTCCGATAGGATTTAGGTCGTATCTAGGAGGTAATCGATGGCAAAACACACCAGATAGTTTTATTTTCTCTTGTGAAAATGACAGAGATATCAATAACATGAAAATAAGTCGTGTAATAAGTCCCAATTATGCGATATTGGAAAATTATAGTCAAGGATTTAATTTTGGTAATACTTTTTATTTGAGTGGTCAAAATGTATATTTGCAATATCAAGGGTATTATGATAATAACGCTATAAATACAAATACGAATTTTATTCCTAAGGAAATTGAGCTTTTTAACGTAGTTTCTTCGTAATTTGTTACATTCAAACGGTTTATTATTATAAAATATAAATAAAAAGGATATATTATAAATTTTGTTATAATTACAGCCAATAATTTAAATTTGTCATGTGAAAATGAATTTGTCAGACTAGCTTGGATTCAAGAATTTCTGTTTGATCATTGTACACGAAAAAAAAACTGTTTAGTTATTTGGAATAAATTGTATTGTATTTCATTATTCGTTTATTTCTTATCTCTGAATATTCAAGTCTCTTAAAAGGTGATTTTTCATAGATTTTAACGTGATTCGTTAGAAATTTACTGCGCCAACGGAACGCGTCACAAATCTCGTGTTTTGTATGTGACAAATTAGAACATAATATAACAAATGTAATAAAGTTTAATTATAGTCTGATCACTGCAGAAGAGAATCCTTTGAAAATTAGTACTGTTTGTTGAGTGAAAATGTCAAATAAATAGACTATGCAATAAATATTCAAATTTGTAAATAATTTTTATTTTTTATCTGAATTTACTTTATAGTTTTATATAACTAATATTCAAAAGGACCTATTATCCGTGCCCACAACAATATCGTACAGATACTTAACACCTTTGACGATGAAATTTACCAATGGAAAAATACTAGAAAGATAGAATTGGCATTATGATGAGAGATTCATTCTCCAGACCTGATTTTTTGTTACAATTTCTTACACGAAAGACAGAAATCAATTTATTCTGCATTAATTACCGATATTTTCATTTAATAAGTCCTTTAAGAGGGAAAAGAGAGTCATGCAAATTTCGATGATTGTCGGAGAAATGTTGGTGAAACATATGTTTCCAAAATTAAAGTTCTCATTCTTTTTTTGATAGATGTTCCTCATGCACAGATGCTCTGAGAATATAATTAGAAAACTATATTAAATTGACTTTCATTTTTAACATTAATGAAGTAATCACAAAATTGTTGACATCATCTAAGAAAGTTAAGACACGCATAAGCCGTAAATAGAGCGTAACCTTAAGTGATCATCTAATATTCATGTGTTCAATCATTCGTAATTCTTTCATAGTAACATAGCCAAGCTGACTCAGAAAATTTGTTTTTAAGATTAATCTATTACATGGAAAGAAATGTTATTGGAATTAAACCAACAATTATTTTGAATAAATGGAATGAATACCTTCGTTTATGGTCCATATTCAAACTTTCAAATTGGATCCGCACCATCACAAATTGGATCAGTTTTACTTTCGCCAGCAATTTGATAAACATGAGATGCAAGCACATCAGGCATATATTGATTCGTCGTTTCATCTTTAAAGTTCAGTGTAACTTATTCCCTTCAACTCAATGTCCACCTTGTTTTAAAGTCGATAATTATAAAAAATTGTGCAAAAACATATATATGGTATGCTATGATTGATTGTTCCTTGCCCATTTGTATGAAAAAATACTTATCATGTATGGGTCGTTTGATATTCAAGTAAGACGAACCAAAACGTGATTGCAAAGCAGCCCATCGTCGAACTAATTAACTTCTTCTAATGATCTGTTTGGTTTCCACTTAAAATACGTATAAAATTCTCATAAATAGGACGAAACGTCTGCAGCACGCCCGCACCTTTTCTGTTCCTGTTAAATACTGATTTAAATTTCCAAAATAAAAAAAAGAAGCTTTATCATGCTTTACCTAATTTGTAAGGTAAAAATTCTACGTCAAATAATATCACGAAGAACAATTTTGAAATAATTGCAGCAAAAATTTAGTTTGAGTATAAATAATTGAATACATAGTCTCCTCCTTTTTTTTCGAATATTCTAATATTTCTTGCTACTAATTTTTCGGTTTAATGTACTGTACATATTATATTTAATAATAATAATAATAATAATAATAATTTTCTTTTATATCCAAATTATTCAAATTATTGACCATCAAAAATTTATTGTTACGTTAAATTCGCAAGTATTTATAAAAGTTGACTGTTTCACAAGGGGTATAATCTAATCCGTTAATTTTCTCACCTATGAAAATCAGGAATTTCAATTTTTAATAACCAAATAATTATTCAAGATTTCTCGCAGCATGATTTATTTTGCTTGCCTCTTATTTTCAAAAACTAATATATACTTTAAAAAAGCTTCATGGCTATTGATTCACACGCTTCAAATTGACAAAAGATTGTTATTCTGAAATAACGCTACTAGTTGTCCCATTACTGAAATTCCCAAAATATTCAGTGATACTGTTTATGTAGGAAAAGCATTTGGAGTTAGTTTGATTAAGATAAAGTCAACAAAAGAAGAGGAGGTTGAGGTAAAAATTTGCATATTTTAGAATTATAAATTTATTTACAAAATGAATGTAAGGATTCCCGAATAAAATGATTGATACCGTACCATTCCGAAATCAAGCAACCCTTTTTTTACTATAGGGTTGCTTAATTTTGGGTACTTTTATTTTGAAGTAAAACAAATAAGAAAACGTATAATAAACGTCACGTGCCATATTGTCAAGCATTTAATTATTCACGTGCGAAACAAATATTGTTGTTTTTAAACCTGTTAAACTTATTTTATGAGATGGCGCCACAAAAAAAAAGCAAGCAAAAAAGAGCTGCTATTAAAAAAGTTGTTAGTAAAAATGCTGTTAAACAACACCGCAACTCATATTCTGTTGAGTAAAAGAGACGAGTTGTCACTTATGCTGAGGAAAACGGAATAATTGCAGCAGCAAGGTTTTTTGAAATTGATAAAGGTATGGTTAGCCGCTGGGTTAAGTCAAATGAAAAATGGGTAAAATGGGTAAATGAACCAAACCAAAGAAGCAAACGAGTTGGTTCCGGCCGAAAAAGCTTTTACCTAGAAGCTGAAAAAAAACTATATGATTGGATCATTGAGCAGAGAAAGCAGGGATTAGGTGTTACATATGGAATAGCACGAGTTAAAATGTTAGATATTTTAAATGAACCTGCTATGGTAAGTTTGTATGGGCATTCAACAAGTGTATTTAAAACATCAAACCGTTGGATGTTTGCATTCATGAGGAGATATAATCTATCTCGACGGCGGCACACTAAAATTTCACAAAACTTCCATCACAAACTGAGGAGTTATTAAAAAACTTCTATCAGTTTGTCAACCGCCTTAGAATTAAAAATCGTTTGAGTTGTCGAATATTCTCAATATGGACGAAACTCCTGTCTGGTTTGATATGGAAGGAAATTTTACTATTGATAGTATAGGTGAAAAAACAATTCATATTCGTGGCACTGGCAATGAAAAAATCGATTTACAATTGTATTGACATGTGGCATGTGTAAGAATCATTAACAATTTTTTTTTCTTTTAGTTTACTTACCTAATTTTTTATTTTGTAAATGATACAAAATTTCCACCCATTTGTATTTTTAAAGGAATACAGCTACCACGTAGCGAACAAATTCCATCTGATATTTTTGCTTAGTTTCAACAAAATGCATGAATGATGTCAATTTAATGAAGAAATATGTTAAATATATCAACAATCTAAGGACTAATAATACTTCAATGATAATGGTATGCGATTCTTTCAGGGGTCATCTTGAAACCTCAGTTAAAATGAAATTCCAGGACAGTGATATTGATTTGCGGTTATTCTAGGTGGTTTAACTAGCTTATATCAACCACTTGATGTAACGATAAATAAACTATTCAAGAATAATCTTCGTAAAGAATGGCATATTTGGAATCACATCAGGAAATCTTCGTCATACTAGATTATCTGATGTTTGTGGTTAGATCAAACGTGCTTGGGAAGGAATTTCAGCTGAAATGGTTGCGAAATCTTTTAAGACTTATAAGATTTCAACTTCCTTAGACAATAAAATTACCGATAGTGAGGATTCTGATGATGTTGTTTTTGGTGATAACGACGATGATAGCAATTAGTAATAATAATATAATAAATAAAACTATTTATATTTATCATAAAAATATTGATAAAATACATTTTTTCAATTACATTTATTACTTTATAAATGTTTTTTATTATATTTAATTATTTTTTATTATAGGAATTTATGGGTTGCTTATTTTCAGAACTATACTAATTAGGGTTGCTTATTTTTGGGAGTTGTTTAATTTTGAAATGGTACGGTAATTTATATATAACATTTTTAAAATTTCACTTTAAATATTAAGTTCTTAATCCTACCCTACCTCCTACCTATATATATGACGCGAGTGTCGGTCACTATAAAAAGCGGCAATTCCGCGGTAATTCCATGAAATCTGATTGGATTTCCGTAGATTTCATGGAATTTCGGGATATTTTAGGAAATCTTCGCAATTTTTGCGAGAAATCACGTGATCTACATCAACCATTTTCATATTTGGAGTTTTGTGTAACTATTTTTGTCGATTTTCCAATTTTTCGACAGGCGAGAATTGTCTTTTTAGGATTTTGTGTAACATCATTTCTTTTTTAGTAACATCCAACAGGTTTGTAATTAATTAAAAAAACAAATAAATATAAATAAATAATAATAAAAAATCAACCCGATATTTTTAAAAATAAATATAAATAAATAATAGACTAGAAATTTTAATTTTATTTTAAAAATCCGAAATTAAATACTCAAATTAATTAAAAAAAACCCCCGTTTAATTAAATACCCAAATTTAATTAAAAAAAACCCCCGGTTAATAAAAATATAAATGTATGATGAGCCGTTAATTTTTACTTATTTTATATTAAAATTCTATAAAATAAATAAAATAAAAAATTTCAGCCGAAAAATTAAATTAAGTTATTTAATAAAAGAAAATAATTTATCAGCTTTCCAACTATTAAAAAATTTATATTATTTTTCAGGGGTTTAATTTAATTTTAGCGTGTAAAATCAATCCGAAAATTTAATTTTAATATATGACGCATGCATTTAGATTATTTTATTAATAAAAAAATTATTATTTTTGAA